TGGAGAGTAAAGGCATTTATTTCTTATTTTATTGCCAAAATGTCTAAATTTCTTCAGGATACACAACAAATTATAAAAAAGAACAAAATAATGTTGGTTGAAACATAGTGATGCTAACTAGGACAAATAGGAAGAAGAAATATACTTAAAGTAATTAAGATGAAATTACTGATTATATAAAATAAATGATAAGAAATATTAGCCTGGGTTAACAACAAAATAAGAGGATTGTAACAGAGAGCTTATCATTTCTATCAAGGTGATCTTCCTTTCCCGCATATGTCATGGAAGTAGGTTGTGTACACGTGACCTGTGTTGCTTTTCAATACAGATATTATTCTTTTTTATATTGAATACTTCGCTGGGCCACTTGGACGGATTTGGTCACTGATATTTATGTTTGTGAATTCTTGACTATTACAAAACGCCACACTTTGATTACCATGTATTCATGTGTATTGAGTTAATTAACTGTCTTTATAGTAGTGATATTGAACTATTTGTGTACCTAAACTATTGTCCCGGCATGGCCAGGTGATTAGGACGCTTCACTCGCAATCCCCGTCACACCAAACATGCTTGCCCTTTCAGCCGTGGGGGCGTTATAATGGGACGGTCAATCCCACTATTTTTTGGTAAAAAGAGTAGCCCAAGAGTTGGCGGTGGGTGGTGATGACTAGCTGCCTTCCCTCTAGTCTTACCCTGATATATTAGGGACGGCTAGCGCAGATAGCCGTCGTGTAGCTTTGCGCGAAATAAAAAAAAACTAAACCAAAACCTAAACTATTTACCAGTACTTAAATATTTCGGTGTTTAACTGTTCATGTATAAATAAATACATATGCATCTATCTATTTGTCGATATCTATCTGTTGGTGTGGAGAATTATTGTTTTATTATTCAGCCATCCGTAGCTAATTAGTTTATATATTTTTATCTGTCTATCTCTGTAATCTCCCCAGTGGCACAGCGGTATATCTGCGGACTTACACTGCTAGAATTCAGGTTTCGATACCGGTTGTTGGGCAGAACACATTGTGTAGCTTTGTGCTTAATTACTAACAAACTATCTCTGTAAATAATGTTTATATTTAAGTTTTTATTCTATGATTCTATTTTTATTTATTTATTACTTCTCCGCTAGTATTTACTCGTTTATAATTAATCACCTCTATCGAATTATGGGTATACATTTAAAGATGCCCGTCTAATTATTAGTCTTTATGTAACTATCTCAATTTGTCAGTAATCATTTCACCTTACTTAACTTAGCTATTGTTGTTCTTCCTTATCGTTTACCCATCTCAGTCTTTCTAATTATCTACGTCAATCTATCTACTTATTTGACCCCATTTATATATGTATAATTAATTATTTATCTTTCTATATTTTTTTAATATATTGAGCTATTTCTCTTTATCGAATTTTTTACGAGTCAGGCGTGGATTGAAGTTTAGAATACTGTGAATCTATGATTTGGTGCAGTGAGTGACAGTCAAATCCCACTATTCGGTTGATAAAAGAAGCGCAAGAGTTGGCTGTGGGTGTTGCTGAAGATCTGTCTGTCCTCTTGTCTATTAGCTCGACATTAAAGATAATTGTACGCAGATAGTCCTTGTGTAGTTTTACACTAAATTACAAATATAATAACAACAATAACGAATGATGTATGTATATAAAACTGTCTCTCTCTATCTCTAGTCATTTTTCTATATTTAGCTAAATCTCTGATTATTTATCTCTGTTTCACTGTGTTTATCTTTCTAATTATTTATCTATTTTTCAATTACACGTATGTATATACATAATCGTTTGTCTATCTTTTTGTCCACATTTACTTATCTAATGTTATTCTGTGTAATAATTCGAAAGCTAATTCTCTACATGAATGTACTTGACAATTCTTGACTGAACTTAATGTCGCTGATATATAATTAATTATGCTAGTTCAAGTATTTCTTTCAAGGAATCGGGATGTACATCCTGTAAATAAATGTATTTATACAAAATATAATATTTGAGTGAAATATATATATATATATTATTCTATTTATTATGTATATGTCTAATGATATGCTTTTTTAACTATGAAAATCGCGTTGTTTAGAAAGGCTTTATCGTGTTTTAATGATTTCTCACTTAGTATGTGATTATAAGTTTACAGCTTACATGTTTCAAGAGTAACTTTTAATATTTTTTAGGAAACACAAAATATCAACACCTATTCTCCTTTCGTGGACTACTCACAGGAATATCCTCAAAGAATCACTGGGCTTTCAAGTCGACCATCGTACTATTTGGACGATACTGGCATCCGTGATGGAGGTTATCAGGCAGATTTTTCTAATCCATACATTGGAAGTTCTCACTCGGACCTTCTTTTACCACAAGTTGCCCACTTCAGCCCACGGGATAAAACAAAGCATTATATCACATCTTCTAGTCAAGTTGGTCAGAGGACTGATGCCTTGGGAACAAACGTATGATGGTCCTCAATAAACTCTGTGTTTGAAGTCTATGTGTACTGTGAATCTTCTAAAACCAAACACTTATATATTCCGGAATTGGTTGCATTTTCATCTACTTTATCCAGTTTAAATAGCTTTGTACTTTATAATAGTATCATTCGACCATGTTCTACTTTGTGCTGAAAATTGACGAAGAACAAGCGTTCAAACTATAAACATGAATTTCATAAAACTTGATTAAAATAGATAATATATCGATTGTCTGAGGCATACTCTGACATTAAAGTGAGAACAGTTGAAAAGATTTATGACTTTTTAAAGACTAAAGGGATTTAACTGATAAACTTACTTTCGATAATATAACAGTGAACTTCCAACATCTTGGAAACTACCTAAAAGAAAAAAAAATAATGTCTTATCAAAACATGATAGCCATTCTTTTGTTGTTAAAATATATGTTTAACCATGTTTAATTAAAAATTACAGCATAATTACAATCATCATATTGTTTGCCTGAGCAGTAAGCATCAGGGTTTATAATGATAAAATTCAAAGTTATTTCCGTGTGGCAGTTACGATGCAGCTAGCCGATTGTGTATCTTTGCACTTAAATAAATATAAATATTCTTTAATTATTTATGATAAATAAAAGGATTCATTAGAGAATTAAATTAGTTCTTGAGAAATTCATGAAACTTATGGATATTTCAGAATTACAATTTTCATTTGTCATACGTTTTTCACTGTTTACGGAGTCACATTTTTTACAACATCCTCTGCATGAGTAATGGCCGAGTGTGGCCGAATGGCTTGTATACTATTCTGTAGACCCAAGGGTCCCTGGTTCGCGTCGCCGCAAAATTGCGTTCCGTGTGTGCGTTATAGGAGTGAAACTCAAATCCCATTATGTGTTTAGAGCACCCCAATTCTTAGTGGTGGATGCATTTGACAAACAGACTTCCCTGTAATTTATCAGATTGGAATTATGGACGGCGAGTGCAAATAGCATTTGTGTAACTTTGCATCAATATCCAAAAGAAACCAAACCAAAAACATGAACACACATTGACTGCTTCTAGTCAATTTATATACAAAATACCAAATGTTTTATTGTAATAATTACTTCTGGTACAACACATTCGATTAACTCTTTACAATGAGTATTTTGTTAAGGTAAAAACATAAAAATTACATAATATGATGCAATATGCTCCCCGGTAGAACACGGATTAAGAGCTAAACAATGAAACATTTGTGTTTTCATCATATACAGAAGGTCAGTTACACTTTCATTTAGAAAATATTACTAATTTCACTTACTGGAATTAAATTAAATTTTCCGAACAATCACTCTGTATCTGCTCTTTCAACTTCTTAATAATGGCTTTCTAGTGATATTTCCAAGATATTAGGGGTCAAGATTTCTACGTTTTACTCCCTTTCTTATGAAAATTTCTATAAATCAGCTTATTTTTGAGGTCCATAACATATAAATTCACGCCTTAGCGAGCCAGAGGCACAAAATTCTGTTGGCACTGTTTTAGCGCAATAGAAAGGTAAATGATAAAATAACTTTGGTGTTATTCTACTCTATTTCGTCGTTTTTTTTTCCTCATAAAAACAACCATTTATTTCGAGGTATGGCTGGAAGCTTGAGACCCTTGGCTCTGAGAATAACGCTATTTGAAATGCTTTATGATTTGATTCTATAATGTTTATCGATATTGCTCTATGATAATTTCTCTGAGAATAAAATCATTCAACCCACTGTCCCTCTTCCCATTAAGTTTTGAAGGCATTTTGGAAGCCTTCCGGTGTAGTTTGTATTTATATTCTGAGCAGATCTTATAGTTCTAGAACCATCCCGGCTTTCGAAGAGAAAACGTTAGCTAGTTTACAAGCGTTTTTAAAATCTACAGATGTATTTCTGTATATCATCTCTGAACAAACAGTAAGGTAGCTCGTAACTTCATCTGGTAGCATCACTGATACATTTATACATTACCATTTCTTATTTTGCATTTCGTTTCATTAGCAAGACTATTTTAACAACTTGTAACAATAGAATCGTCTAAAATGTTTTGAAACAAATTTTTTTAAATACTGATGCTTTATGGCTATTACATTGCAAGGGTTTAACATGTCTCATTTGATTTAAGTATGTAAATTCAGAAAACGTATCAAATCGTACTGAATATAGTCTCAGACTCACAAGTAAAAGCATTATTGCGTTTAAATTATTTTTAATATTCTCTTATTATTGTTCAGATAGTCTTCTTGAACATCTTCATAATAACAGGTCATGTATGCGTGTCTGTGTTACTGTGTAAAAATTAAGATTTGATTTCTTTAATTAAGCTGAAAGTTTCATGATGTTAAACCTTACTTATTGGTTTTCAGAATAAATATTTTCATATGATTTTGCTTGTGTTATTTTCAGAATGGTGAACAGACGCCGGTGTTATTTTAAAATTAAACGCCCACGTTCATTAATAACAAATTTCTCTGAGAATAAAATCATTCAACCCACTGTCCCTCTTCCCATTAAGTTTTGAATGACTATTTATACATTAATGACTATTTGTACGTATCTGCTACACAACATCCATTGCAACTTTTTACTAACCCCTCCAATCCGTACACTGTATTTTACTGTTTTGTAAGTCAATTGTTATTGTTCTGTAACAGAAAGAACATTTTCTTGCACGTCTCTATAACAATCGTGATGTGTACGTGTCTGAGCTATTGTGTAGAAATCAACATTTTATGACCCTATAATCTTATTTAGTCAATTAAATAACAATTTCATCATTTAAGTAAATGTTTTCGAAACTTTTTTATCAAGTTACGAAAGAAATATTCCATTTTTGAAACTGCTTGTATTGTTAAATATCTTTCTGCATTTCTGGATTCCTGAGCTATTGTAAATAAACCATGTGTAACAGTTAAAAGTCTCTTTTGGCCGAATAATAAAGATTGACTACTGACCACTCGCAAAAAATCATCCAACTGATTTCCAAGTGATTAACTAGAATTAACTAACAAGGTTGGAAGCACTAGTAATCACATTCTTAGATCATATGTACAATGTGCAAACAAAAGGATAACACAAAAGCTACTCCAACAACCAGTGATCATCACATAAACCAAATAAACTAAAATGTACTCAAAGTAGAATCAAGTTAAAATTAAAAATGAGGAAAAATTGAAATGCAAAATTAACAATAAAATGTATTCAAATCTAATAAAAATAAAATAAAAATTACGATGTAGAAATGGATATTTAGAATCTAAACTTTTTTTAATAGACAGTAATCGTCTGGTAAAGCATGGAAAATTTGTGGTATTCGGGTTTACTGAAAAGTCTCAAAGTATCCTCAAAACGAATGTTCAGAATTGTTAACCGAAGAATAAATTGAACACACAGTAAAGGAAAACAAGAAAACGCAATTGTAACTTGACATAAAAGTTCTTTAGTAAGCACACAAACGCAATGCTTTGTTACTTAGCTGGTTAAGCCTCTTCTTCTGTATTTACTAGCTGCTGGGGTTGAACAAGAGCAAGATTAATAGAGATAAAGATATAGAATTATCGAAATACTCTACTTAAAACCTCTAACAAAACAAAGAAATTCAGATATCCCACACTTCTCTGAGTTACATACTTCAATGTCAACACGCAACCTTAATCCGAGCGTGATGTACAGGTTTCTGTATTGCATTTTACATAGGCTACTCTCCAAGATATTCATACATAAGCACATACACACTAGCTTGAGAATCAAATATAAAGATTGACTTATGTATTCCATCCCGTCAACACAGAGGTCATTAATTACATTCAGAAACTGCATGGAAATATACGAACATATAATAATAAAAATCAAAATACCATAAATCATAATCATAATAGACAGTGCAATACCGAACTGAATTCAATTAGTCGATGATAAAAACATAACCAGCCAGTTACTATAAAATAAAATTAAAACATTACAAATTAGAAAGAATAAAACAGAATTTAAAATATTAAATAAAATTGAACAGAAGTATGTGAATAGTTAAACACAATACAAATTCCACAGAATCAGAAGAAAATAATCAAAATATTTAAAGAGCAGTTTCAGTGAGTCAGTGAAGTAGATTATCATATGTTTCATTATTAACATTTAAAATTATTACTTGAAGGTCATTTTCGCCATTGTTATCTAGGACTTCTGGTAAATTGTACTTTTTCACCACATGCTGAATAGCTTTTGAACTCCGACCTCTGGCCATCTTTCTGACGTCTTTCCAGACTATTATTTCCATTAAAAGGCTTTAAGTACATTCATCTATCTTTTAACTAATCAAATATATGCTACATTGTTTAAATACATCACATTTTAGAGTTCCAAATGATGGGGTAACACGGACTATTATCGAATTGAACACGATGAACTCATCTATTTTTAAAGTGTGGTTTTGGATGGTTTACTGTATCTTGCATACATAAAGTATTCTTATGTGATGGGCATCCTGTCTAGTTATAATTTACAAACCTCATTTTAAAGTCAGAGTGGATTTTTAGTGTGGTACCGGTACTCTACGTTCTATTATGTACTACATATTTAAATGAGATAAATACAATACTACCATGTTCAAGTGTTTTTACCGCCACTTGGAATGAGTACAGCTTCGCTCCAAAAGGTCATGGCCCCAAAAGGGACCAAACAAGTATAAGTCTGTGAAACAACTGCTGTAGTTTACAGACTTTACAATTTCTCCCACACCAGTTTACGGGGCGATGCTAACTTCAAGCATGACACCCACAGGAAAATTTTGCAAATATGCATTTATACACATAAATACAAAATATTGTATACTAGTTTTAGAATTGTACAATATGATTGTATTTATACTTGTTACATTAGAACACCCTATCTTTACAATATTTAATAATGTTGAACAGCAGTGAACCTGAGTATCATATATAATTTGGTTCTTCCTTGCACATTAGTTACATTTACAATTACATTTAATTTCATATCATAAGTTCGACGTTAATGAATAATCAAACAAACACTAAGTAAAGACATTATATTTTCTACAGTAAAAATGTGACATAAGAAACTACAAATGCAAATAAATGAAGTTTGTGAAAGAGTTAATCAAGCGTATGTATTTAGTTCCTATATTGTGAGAGTGACATTTTATTGAAAATTTTAAATTAATGACTTATGCAATTAAACAACAGTTATTTTCGTAAATGTCATTTTCTTCCTCTTTGTCGGTAATTTTCATAATGATATGTTTATGTTAATTTGAATCTTTAAAAAATATCAGGAACTAATTTTACAAAGTATGTTGCATCAGCACGCAACGTATTCGATCTAAATTAGTTTTAGAAAAATATTTTTTTTCATACTCATAGTTTTATTTGAGGTCAATTTTCACCACAAGCATAGTATCATTATGAGGAAGTGAATTTGGAGTGTATTTTCTTTTTTCCCATTTATTTGCATGTAGTATTTAATAAAGTGAACATGCTGGGCTTTACTGTACTGTTCGTATAGGTACAGGGAATAGTTTGAGGGCTAGAATGTTAGATGTAGGACATGAGTTTTTAATTACCCCTAGTGACTCATCATAGTAACCTTTTGTTTTTCAGTTTTCTTTCTTTGTAATAATTTTCTATTAATACTATCAATAGTAGTTTAAGATGTTGGTGGTTGTGGGCTTGAACACTTCTACTAATTATTTTACTTGTATTGTGTATTTCTAATTTAATTTGGCATGTGAAGCTGGAGAATATCTGATAAATCTGATAAAGTGTATTTTGTCACTGCTGTGTGGATCTGCTGTCTTGTTTCCGAAAATACTTATCTTACAAGAGCTAATTTTACTTTTTATACATTGTAATTTGCACCCTAGTTCTATTTATCTATCCTTCAAATGAAACGTACTTCATTTGATCTATTTAGAGAAAAGTGACTAGGTATAATGTTTGTTCATTATAAACATATATCTATTGGAACTTTTAAGGAGAGCACTGGAATACTTGAAAAAAAATATTGTTAGAATCGAAGGATTTTTAACATGATGAATGAGATACTCTTCAGAAGCTCATGAGCCATTTTCAGTATTCACAGTAATTTTCCTTTAATTAACTCGGTTATGTATTACAACAAAAAGAAGTGCAGCTGTGATGAATGTATCGGTCAACAAGTGTATGATGTATGTACATTATTTCAGTTGCCTTTTTCAGTTTATTAATTTCAGTTGAAAAGTATTTTCTAAAGCAAATATTACAACCAATTAATATTATCACCAAAAACAACATTATGAATTCGTCTGTATTAGATCTTACGTCTTGCGTTTCTGTTGATAAACTAGCACAACAATGTCAGCATTGTATTATTCAAAGCTATTCAGCATTGTGAATGGTAATCCCAAAGCTCGAAATTATTTTCAGATTTTTCAGTTACTGAAATGGTGACTTAAATATATTACTTTTCATGCAATTTTAAAAAACATATTTCATTGAATCTCAGAAAAAAGAAAACTATATTATTCGATCCTGATACTTTAACTAAAGTCTCCGTCAGAGAATAAAACAGTGTAAGAACACTCAGTACAGCTAACTCAAAATGAGTCTAATTGTCAAATTATATCAAAGAAATGCATTTAGTAGCCTCTCATCCTTATACTTAGAAAAAAATTCAGTCTTATAGAATATAAACAATATGTTTCAGGTTAGACTCTGTTGCGTATATAATGAATATATAAATTATTAATTTATTAATTTCATAAATATAAATAAAAAGTTGATTGTTATGAAAATTAAATAATGTATAAAATGTCGCTCTTGTGGAGCAAACCGATATCATTGTGGTGCAATAAGTAATTTACATAGATAATTTCAAATATGAAGAATGAAGGCACACCACGAAATTGCAGAGTGTTGGAATATGTGAACATGGAGGAAATGGAACAATATATTTCACTTTTCATATGAGGAAATACCAGAGTTTCATAATTAAATCAAAGCCATATATTATACAAGAAAATTTATTCGCTGCACATTGGTAAGTAATAATCAAGTCCTGTTTATGTACATGTTATATTTATTTCTGGAAAGTAGATCAAAATTTACTATAAGAAGATTCTGTCAGTGTTTGTAACTTAAAGTGGCCATTCTTTATATTCATTGCTGAATATAAGATTGAATGTCTTTAGAAAAATCTCCATTTTGGAAGTTATATTATTCATACAGTTGATGTTATGGCTCTTGACTAGACACTCAGATACTGGTTGTTAATATCTCCAACGGGAAGTATTTGAATCATTCACTCAGTAGCCGCTATTTACTGAATCTCTAACCATGTAAACATGAATTATTAAAGTTATTTTAATGTCAAAATGTGATCATAATCTGTCGCAGAAGTGCACCCATAAATATTCAGAAGACTCACATTATTTCTAAGAAGAATATATTAGACTCCAAATCAACCAGTTAATATAGCAAAAGAAAACCGTTCACATCAAGTGACTTAAAGTTCAGTTATATCCTATAGTAGTTCAACTCTTTGTATTACGGACTTAAAATGTCGTCAAGAAATCTAAACTATTCACTTGTGTCATTGAGTCAAGTCCATCAAATGCATCATAAACTGTGCAAAATATACTATATCTAAACGTGGTTTATAGCTTTCTTTTGTTACGAATTGAAAAACACAGAATACAATGTTTGCTCTTAAATTTACGTTTGGGAAACATGTACGTATTAAGCAACATAATTAATATGTTACCATGAACATGAACAGCGCTTGATATACTCATTAACAAAAGGAAAAATAAATAAGAGAGATGGTTTGAATTTCGTGCAAAGCTACACGAGGGCTATTTGCGCTAGCCGTCCCTAATTTAGCATTGTAAGACTAGAGGGAAGGCAGCTAGTCATCACCACCCACCACCAACTCTTGGGCTACTCTTTTACCAACGAATAGTGGGATTGACCGTC